CGGCACCCGGCGGGGGCTCCGCGCTCCCCCGACCCCCCATCTCCCCGCCGTTAATTATAATAATCCTGAGTACTAATAAATTATGCTAAGTCGCGGGGGGGGGCCGGCAGCGGGAGCCTGGGTTGAGTATGAATATGAATATGTAAAATGCTGTAATGATTACCTGCTGCTGCAGCCGCCGCGGCTGAACTCTCATCTTGACTCGCTGCTCCTCCGTCCGCCATTTTGAATATTTTAACCAAAATCGCCCGGTCGATAAACCCTCCCTCGATCCCGCTCCCCTCCCCCCTCCTCTCCGCCCCCTCCTCGTTCCCGCCTCTCCCCCGGGTGCACGACAGGGGGCGCGCGAGGCCGGAGCTGCTGGCTGCCGGCCCCCTCAGAACAGCTCCACCCCCGCCTCGTGCGCGCTACGCACGCGCGCCAGTGCGGCTGCACCCTTGGGGAACTAAAGCGCCAGTCAACCCCTAGATTTTATTTTCGTGTCGGCTGTGCACATGCGCAATTTTCTCCTCGCGCCTTAAACACGTCTGGCGCATGCGTTCTCGCCTCTTAGCGCCCTTGGAAAGCTTATCCTGCCTGGGAAGTGTGACGTGTGGGGCGCTTGTGTGTTTACTACAGCTCATCCTTCTCCCACCGGGCTTTGCTTCGGCTTCCCTCGTGGCATGGTAAAAAAAGAAACACAGGGGGAAAAAAAAAAAAAAAAAAGGAACACAGAGGCCGAAATTTCTTTCTGGGGTTCGGTGCCGTGGACGCACTGACAACAATGGCGACGCCGCTCCCCGTTAGGTGACTTCCGGCCTTGTGCAGGTAGGGGCGGGAACGCGGCCCCCGGGAGCGGGACCGAGCACCTGCTGGGCTCGCGCGCGTCCCGCTCTGGATTTGAATCCCCACTAGGCCCCGCCCACGGCTCTCCGAGAGCAGCAGACCCGGCCCGGGCCCCGAGAGGGCAGCGTCCTGGGCTCCTTTAATTAGCTAGAACCGCATCTGCCCTACCGTTCGGGCGGGCTATCCAGGGCTGGGCATCCTGAGTCGCGATCTTCTACCCTTCGCTTCCCTGCCCTCGGCCGCAGCCCCCACACGCCGCGGACTCCCCCTGGCTCTCCTGTCTTTTAAAACCAGGCTTTTAAAACTCTGTGATCTAATAAATAAAAACATCGGCATCGGCAGTAGCATCACCGTGAATTTTACTTTGCTGTATTTCTCAGAGTTAGTAGGATAGTGGGGAAAGTTTCCGGCCTTAAATGTCTTTCTTTAGAAGTAGTCAAAATGTTGCTGAGATTTCGTAGTTTAAAAAAAAAAAAATTTCCTGGACAGAAACCCATGTCTAATTGTTTTACTAATTTCATTGTTAATCAAGTACCAAGATTTTCTTTAGTTTTAAAAGTAAAAAGAAAACCCATAGCAACGAAAAGTCTTTTGAAATTCAGACTTAGCCTATCCTCAAGGGAGATATGACTGAAGTTTAAATTGGATAAAATTGCAGGTTCTCGAGTGAAACTCAGCAGTTATTTTAACTGCCGAAATTTTCAACCGCGTAAGTATAAAGTTATTGTCAGTGACAGGCAAAGATTTGTGGTGAGATTGATTAATTTGTGGTAATTAAACTATAGGGCGTAGGTATGACTGTTTAAACCAAATAATTGGACCACCCTATAATCTAATAATTTCAAGCCACACCAACCAACACAGTTAAGGAAGTGCAAAATTTAATGATGTTACAATTCATCTGAAAATATGGCCTAAAGTATATCCACCAGCATTACTTATTATAGAGAGAGTTTCAGGATCATCAGTCTTATTTGAAGTAAAATTGAGCATATACCCCTGCTCTTAAGGACAACAAATTTGAAAACATCTCCACTAAGGACAAGAGCTCTCATGCCCTTACTAAAATTCCTATCTTGTATTTCATCTTAGTTTTGCTCTTTGGTTCAAAAAGTAAATTAATGGGGCTGGGGATTTAGCTCAGTGGCACAGCGCCAGCCTGGCAAGCACAAGGTCATGAATTCGATTCCTGTAAGACATCAACATATGTATCGTAGTCATCTTTACTATTTCATTTCCGTAAAACAAAATGTTCATGAAATGAATTTTTATTTAAGGATAATTTTGAGAGGAAAAAATTTTTAAAATAAGTCAATATTTCGTTTCTCTCAATGAAAACATTGGTTTCCAACTATGTTCCCGGTGCCTAGTACAACTCCTGGGCTTAGAAGATGTTCATAAATTTTTGTTGAAGAAAAAATAGTGAAAAACAGTTATGCAAGGATTTTTTAAACTGGTGAAGTCATTTATTCAACAAAAATTTATGAACACCTACATTCTTATTCTAAAGTTCACATCCTAGTGAACTTTACTAGGTGCTAAGTATAACAAAGTGTTTTGACACTGACCTCAGCAAACTCATATGTATGAATTTTTTTCAAATCTTTAAAACCCCTTGGAAGGTAGAGGGACTGTTTATCCCAGTTTTCCAGGATAAGAAAATTGAGGCATAGAGATGTCAAATAACTTGCCCAGTGCCACAGCACTATTAAATGGTAAAGCTGGAATTCAAACACAGGCAAGGAATGGTATTCTAAACCATTGTACTATTCTGTTTGCTGTGGATTAGACAAAATCTTAAAGGCCTACATAGTTTAATGGAGAGAGGAAACATTAACAAATAATGTCCTTGTAGATAATCTCATCAAAGTAAAAATTATACATAGATGAGAACTTATGTTCACACAAAAACATTACACAAATAGCAACTGTACTATAATAGCAAAACACTAGAAATGATCCAAATGTCCTTCAACGGGTGAATAAATAAAACTGGTACACTTATACCATGGAATACTACTCAGCAAAAAAATGGGAATAAACTGTTAGCAGATGCAACAACTTCAGTTAATCTCAAAGGTTCGCCGAGTGAAAGAAGCCAATTTCAAAAGGTTACGTACTGTGTAGTTCCATCCGTACAATATGAATGAAATCACAAAGCTATAGTGGTGGAAACTGGTAAAGGTAGTGGTAGGGGAAGGTGTAACTATAGTGTAAGGAATAGGCATGAGGGTAGCTAGAGTTGTTGTGTATCCTGATGGTGGTAATAACACAAATCCATATAAAAAGTTAAGCACACACAGAGCAGAGAAGTAGAATTGAGGAGTGGTAGTTGATCTGCCTAGATATTACTGTGTCAGTGTGAATAATTTCATCTGTCTGGGAAAGGGCAACACACAAGGCTCCTTTGTAGCTAAGTGTGGCCAGATGACTAAATTTTGCCTATGGAATTTTAAGAAGTTACTGGGGACTGAAGGATATAGCTCAGTACTAGAGGTAGTGAGGGGTGTAGCTCACATATGTAAGGCCTTAGGTTTGGTCCCCAGCCCCCAGGGGAAAAAATGGAATTGTTGGATAGGATTTCTGAGAGATGTCTTAGAAAAGGCAAGGGTTCTGCAACATCCTTTTGTTAAAGATTGGAGAATCCAGACTCTGGGAAATATATTTTAATGATTGTAATTACCTTGGGTGAGTAAATTAAAAATTAACACTTTTTATAAACATCTCAACGTTTTACCTGTTAATAAAGATTAACATTCTAATATAAGCCTACGGACACATTTAGTGGCTAATTTCACAGCAGAGATTTTCAAACCATGCTCCATGCAGTTCTCATGGTTGGTTTAAAAGTAACATAGAGGCCAGCTGTGATGGTGCACACCTATAATCCAGCACTCATGAGGCTGAGGTAGGAAGATCACTGTGAGTTCCAGGCCAACCTGGGCTACATAGTTCAGGGCCAGCCTGAATTACATAGTGAGACCCTGTCTCAAAAAAAAAAGGAAAACAAGCTAACTCCTCCCCAGCCAGTGGAATTAAAGAAGAAATTTTGTTTGAAAACATGGTATCACTGCTGTAAAAGGGTGTGTGTGTGTGAAATTTACTGTCCTGAAAGACTCAGACAAGATATTTCATTGCTTGAAGATGCATCTACTGTGGATACATCATTGAAGAAACAGTAACTTTAAAAAGTTTTGAAGAGCTGAGTGGTAGAGTATTTGCATAGCATGCACAAAGCCCTGAGTTTAATGCCCAGTACTCAAAAATGTTTCTAGATAAAATGATCATCACCATTGGATGTGAAGCACTGAGGCCTTGATCTCTGTTTTGTCCACATGTACAGAATACCCCGAAGATTTTCCAAGAAGACTTTTATCAACTGATTTTTTTTTTTTTTGTACTGGGAATAGAACTCAGGACCTTGCGCTTGCCAGGCAGTTGTTTGTGCCACTGAGCTATATCCCCAGCCCCCTCCAAGAAGATTTTTAATAGATGCTGCCTCTGATATTTCCATAGTTCTCCTTGAGTAGAAAGGAGAAATAGTGACAAGGCTTTCTATTAAATTAATGATTGTATCTTGGTCACATGTCTTAACATTCATAAAAGGATGACATACCTACTGATACCTACTGAATGTGACTGACTGCTGCAATTTATATTCTACCCTCACATACAGTATAGAATAGTTCTACTGAGAGAATGTACAGTGAAATCTTTACAATTCAATACTCATCAAAAAGCTCAATACGTTTCTGGAGAGCTGTCTGTTAGTTACATAACCATTTCCCACCTCTCATTCAGGATCAGCAAGTACATAACATTGCTTTTGCTACTATCCTTTTTAAGCCCCCTGGCCAATTTTAATCCATAACCCTTCCTTGTGCTAACCCTAGACTTGTGCTCTAACATGATTCTTTACCACCGGTGCTTCAGGCAGCCGTTGGGATCTCATCAGCATTGGCATGCAGCATGAAATCCATTTGCTATTTCACCTCTAGATACTCTTAAAAGCCAAACTGTCAGAAAGCCATGGACTTGAAATTCATCATTTTGTCCCCTAGTAATATTCTTTCCTAGAATTGTGCTTTGGACTTATGTCATCAGCCTACATTAAAATCATAAAAAGAAAAAGCTCTTAGAAACCTATCATATTTATGCAGAAATGTTTTTGGAGTGTTTTTTTTTCTTTCTTTCTGAGAGTTTTTCTTAACATTTGAAGGACAAGAGTTAAGTAACGTGTCCTAAATTCACACAGGAAGGGACAGGATCTGAACTAGAGATTGCTTGATTGCATATTCTCTCTGCCTTTCCTCACTGGTCCTTAGATCTGCTCGCTGCCTTGGCTGCCAGCTGCCTCCCCAACCTTCCTCCTCCTGCATCTACACCTTCAGTCCTTCACTTTGTTTCCTGCATTGAGATGCTTATTTTTCCCTTTTATTGATTCCATCTCTGCCCTTCCTATTTTTTCTTGGCTCTTCCTATCCTGTTTCGTAAGTTTTTTTCTAAACTCTCCCTACATTTACTTATCAACTCACTAAAGTATGACATCTGCTGTAATCATTTTCCTGAAATTACTTTGTTGGAAGTCACTGATGACCTCCTAATAGCCAATTGTGATGACATGTACACTCTTCATCTTGGGCTATCTCTCGCGTTTTGATGTTGATCATTCCTTCTTTCTTAAAACCATCTCTGCTTCTGGCTTCAATGACAAATTACTCTCCAATTTCTCCTCTTATCTCTCTAACCCATATCTTGATTTTCTTCACTGGATTCTCTTCTTCTCATCTAATATAGTTATTCTCCAAGGACCTGCCCTGTCCCTCTCTTCAAGTAAGCCTGTTTGGTATCATTATCTATCCTCATAATTTTAACTGTTATCTCTCTGAAGATGACCCCTTAATATACACCTTCAGCCCTAATCTGTCCTCTGATTGTCAAAGACTGTTATATCAGTCTGTTTCACTAGAGTATAAATTATACACAGTCTGGGCTGTATGTTCTTCAATATTTTTTGGTATCTTTTCATTCTTAATGTTATAGTACAAGACCCACACATAGTTTATGGTAACATTTAAAAATTTTTTTCTTGTATACTTTCATCTATGTTTCAGTGATTATCCAATGCCATGTAAAAAAGTTTCATGTACTCACAAGCATCAGTTGAATACCTGTACTTGAGATTTCCTTAGGCAAAACATTTCCTTTGGATTTTTGGAACATCCTGGGATTATTAGTACACATTTAAGTCAGCCTTTTAATCTTCCAAGCCAACATCTATAACTCTGTATCTTATCCACTCTAAGATGCACATTTTTTTCACATTTTAGTATCTGTCAATGAACTCAAGATGCATCCTACAAGAAGTCTGATAAGGAAATATTGTGTCAGAGTTTAATTGGCAGCATTTTAATGGTACATAAAATAATGGTACATCTTACAATCAATGACATTTTAAATTTTATGAAGTATTATACTGAGAGTTAAGGTTTAGAAACATTCAACTAGATTTTACTAAGAAATGTAACTTTATACTGAGATTTTTAGGGCAAGAAAATATTTTTTTAATTTTTATTTTTATTAGTACATGTTTGCAGTACATAATGATTACAGTCATTGTGGAGATTTCATACATATACATAATACATCTTATTCCTTTTTACGTCCTTCTCCCCTCACCCCTTCTTCCCTCCTTCTCTTGGCCCAAGAAAAGATATTTTTAAGGGCTTTTCAATAGTAAGGGTTAAGAGTAAAGGAAAAGGATTTTTATTGGCAGAGTAGGTTCACAAATCCAAACATTTCTTCTCCAAATACACAGCAATGATACATAAAACATAAAAAGAGAACAAAAAGGAAACAGGCTGAGAAGGAATAATAATTTCCATGAACCAGAAAGAACACATAGATGTCAACAATGAGTGAGTCACTGATCTCGACCTCTTGGACTGTACCCTGGAAGCAGGCAATAATGCCTGTGATTTAGCACCACTGAAAGGAAGTACCAGAACTGTCACTGGATAGAGTTCAAGGAGGTCCTTTTGAAGAGGAGATGGGGACTTCAACTCATTCTGGACAGGCTCTCGACCTAGGACACAGGAAAGAATTTTGGATACATCAGTAAGAGGCATGGGAGTTAGAAAGTAAGGAAAAAACAAAAAAGAGTAAGAGAAAATGGGGAAGGGACTTCAGCTTAAGGATCTGAAGGGTCATAGCTCTGATGGAGAAGATCTGACTGGTCAACCAAAGGAAGGGTTCAGCTTTTATAGGGTTTCCAGTTTGACTAGATTATGATTGATCTTTATCTTGGTTCTGGTTTTGTAGCTCTGAAGAAGTCATTTTGGTCTGAGAAGGCAAGCCAGGTTTCCATGACTTGATTGTTTCTCTTTGGAGCACAGTCTCAGTTTTGCAGAGGCTGTGCTGGAATTGAGGTGATTGAACGTTTAGGACAATTACCGAAGAATTTTTTCATGGCCATTTCAAGGGGGGGTTGGAGCAAGATGTAAATGCCGATGGTGCTGTATGTTCTTGTAAATCTCTTATCTTGGTGCCTTTGGACTTGAAGTGGAATGAGATAGGTTATGTAAATTTAGAGCTAATCAACCTTGTATATATTATCAGTTTTTAGACATTTCTTAAATGATTTTTAAAAAAATTTATTAGCACATATTTGCACTATGTAATGATTACAGTCATCATGGAGAGTTGGTATGTGTTCATAACCCACCTTACATCTTTTTTCATCACCTTCCCCTCCCCACCTCCAGACACCTCTTGGTCTCCTTCCCTTTTGCAAAAGATCTCTGTTTCCTCTTATCTTTTATTTTGTTCTTTAATGTGTTTATATTGCAGGTTTCTCACATAAGAGAGGTCACGTGATATTTGAGCTTATGTGTCTAATTTATTTCACTTAACATTATGGTCTCACAGTCATTTTCCTACAAATGACTCAAGTCTTGGGGAAAGTAGTACTCCCCTGGGTATAAATACCAGATTTCCTTTATCCAGTCATCAGTTTTATTGTTTTTTAGACAAACATTTTTTAAATGATTGATGTGGTTATATGTAGGTCCAAAGTTTTAAGGTAATATAAGAGACAATGAAAGCAGAGATGCCAATTGGACATTTCGTTACCAATTGGGCATCTGAAGACCCAAGCAGAAAGGCCTCCCCCTTTTCCAAAAGCAGCTTTTAAGTCCTTGATTGTCTGAGAAGAAAACACAAATCATACTTTTAATAAGTAGTAGGTTAAGGGCCTGGGGGTTCTCTCTCTTTCTTCCTTTCTCTCTCTCCTTTTCTCTCTTTTCTGTCTTTTCTCTCTCCCTCTCCCTCTCCCTTCCTTCCTGCCTCCCCCCTCTCCTAATTCCCCACAGTTTTATTTTCTTATCTAGTTTATTCTTGGAAATGTTATAGAGAAAGCATCCTGGCTATAATTATGCACCGGGTTTTTGAAGTGGATAAGATTGTTTGGGAGAATGAGGGGATAGGGAAGAACATCTACCATACTTTGGGTAACAGGTCTTGACTTCATGCTCAGAGTGCTTAATGCACCTGAATTTTGTCTCTGTGGTGGTTTCTGACTGCCCGAGAACCGAGCTCTGGGTTTGAAAATTCCTGCCTCCACAGCACATGTACACACTCTCACACATACTTTTTTTTAATTGGTGGGTTCTCTATTATTTCATTAATTTTAATGGTTATACCTTCATAAGTTAAAAATCAAAAGCACAGTATTTTGCAATAGAGAGAAGTCTTATATTTACCCCTCTGCCACTTCCCCTCCTCTTTAGGAAATCATTTTTATCATTTTACTGTGTATCCTTCCAATCTCTTCTTGTACTTTTCTCCTTGCAAAATAATCAATGGTGTTAGTGCTTCCAAATTGAGCCCAACATATGTATAC